TAGATTAGTAGGAATAGTGAGAATAGTTAGAGAGTCTGCTATTCTAACTATTCCCTTTGGCACGACGCTACTATATAAGTAGATAGATAGTTCTTAGATAGGAGCTTCGTGCTCAACTTAATATAGTATTCTGTTATATACTGTAACGTGTTTTACGAAAGCCTTTGTGTCTGATCCCCTGCCTCCTCTGTTAAGTAAACTAACGCAACGAAACCTCTGTAAGTCTTATAGTTTAAGACCTAGCGTTACAGAAAGGCCTAGAGCAATATTAAAGAAGATAGACATAGGAATGTAATATAATGAACTACTAGCTATAATTGCTATTATAGAAGACATAGAACTTAAGTAGAGACTTAAGAACGCTTATATAACAGACGAAATAGCAAAGTAAACCCTAAACAAAGTTAAAGGAAACTTCTCCATTAATGAATAAGGGCTAATCTAATTTAAAGGATTAGTATATGTCCTAAGTTAAATAAGACGCCTACTAGTGTAAGAATAACACTCGTTGCTAGCACATAGTTATTAGGGAGTAACATGAACCTTTAAGTAAATTATATAATACTACTACTTCCTAGGTTTAAGGAAGTAGGTAGAAACAATTGTATTAGGATGTAACATTTACTAGAAGTTAAAAGCAAATAGACACGTACTATATAGACTTTAAAAGTCCCTACTAACACTAAAACGAGTATAGTCCTTAATAGCAATTAACTTTATTGTTAAGTTGCTATTATTAAAAGAGCTAATAACAGGATTTGTTATAGACTCTATTATAGTCTCTAACTATAGGCTTATAAAAGAAGCACACTTTACACCGTTTAAAGAAGCGTTAGATGTAAAGGCGTTAGCATATATCTTTCTAAAAGTCATTATTGTAGCATATAGACTACTAGACAAGATAATTTTAGATAGAGATAAGCTCTTTACATCTAAATTCTAGCAGATAGTTATAGCGTAGCTTAGAACAAACTATAAGCTGTCTATAGCTTTTTATCTATAAATAGATAGATAAACAGAATAAACTAATTAGACGTTAGAGGCGTATCTATAAAGCTACATTAATGCTAAATAGGACAACTAGGTCTAGTACCTACATTTAGTAGAGTTTGTATATAATTCATTACTATTAGAGGTAATAAAAGTCTTACTATTCTTCGCTAACAACAGATAGCAACTAGAGGCGTATAAGACGCTAAGACTAGATAAATTTTGCTCTAAGGAAGGAACGTTAGAAGTATTAAAGATACTTTCCTTTTAGAAACAATTAGCAACGGACATCTAGTTCTTAAATAAACGATCTACTACATATGTAAATAGGAAGTGTAGTATAGAACCTACCTTTAAGGAGGGGGATAAAGTATACCTACTCTAGAAACACATTAAAACGAAACGACTAAGCACAAAGTTAGACTTTAAGAAATTAGGACTATT